GTAAATACTGATGATATTCCAAAAAGAAGTATGAAACATAATTTAACCAATCCTCTTCTACATTTATCAATGAAAATAGGTAGCTGTTGGATGTTAATAAATGTGAAAACTCTACATAAGGCTACCTGCACACAGGACACTCAGCCCTCCTGTAAGAGCAGGAATCTTATCACTTACCTACCCTGACAACCTGAAGGCCCTTGTGGCTATCAGGAAATCCTCATCACTCACTGCTGATGCCAAACCAAGGCCACAGTTTCACATAAATTTCTCAGTGCCCTACCTGTCTTAAAATGTTACCCTCCTTTCACCCACACCTTGGTGCTACAGCTGCCCTTGAGAGAACTTCCTAATCTGCCATATGTGCATAAGACTCCAAACCAGAACTGCCTTCAATTCAGAGCAGTGCCCTGCTCCAATTCAATCTGCAGCCCCCAAGACTTTTGTACTGGCAGAATGCAGGAGGTAGGGCCATGTAGCAGCACCTGCCTCAGTGAAAGGTGCCATTGAAATGTTCAAGGGCAGAAACAGCTTAAGCTGGTATCGCCATCAAACGTGTTGGATCATGAAAACACAACCAAAGGGTGTAGTTTCACAGGATGTGAGCTTGGACAGCAAAGCAGTTTTAAGTTCCCACCCCATCTGCTCATTTCAGTGATCCTGTTTGCAGCACAGCTTCACAAAGGGTTTTACTGACACAACAAAAAGATGGCAAAGTCTGGTATGGGGCCAGGGGAAAAGCTGGCTTCACTGCTGAAGCCAAATCTTGTGAAATGACACCCTAAGTGTTTGTTGTGGAAAGAAGAGCCTGTCTAGTAACACTTGCCAAAGGTTTGCCAAACACCTGCTCCAAACCGTCAGAAGTCAGACCCAGAAAATACTCCAAACTCTGTTAGAAGTTTTATTGAGGTGATGCAGTCAGCAAATAATCTGAAGTTGGAAGACCAGCCATAAGACTCAAAAAAAAAAAAAGTCATCCTGCATTTTCAGATTTTTTCTGCAGTTTGAAGACTGAGGGGTGTATTAAAAATAAATTTAAAAAATAATTTATCCAAAATGAAGATGTGACAGCTGGCAAGGGAGCCAAGAAAACTTTCTGCTAGCACTTTGTGGAGAAGAAGCTGCAGAACAAGTTTCTCTTTAAAAAAGGGTTGTAACCGGTTTATCAGGTTAGAGGAATTCATGAGTTCTTCCACCTCTCCCCCCATCCCATTTGTTCCCAAAAGCTCATTTAACCAGCTTGTTTCTTGCTGAATTTGCTGAAAATAAATTGCACCTGCAGCTCAGCTGGATTATCAATAGGCATCCAAACATGCTTGAGGGAACTGGCAATCTGCTATCACCTAGTAAAGTGATAGCAACCACTCAATATTTTTAATTTGAGCATTATTTAGGGGAATGTAGTGGGGGGAAAGGCTCAGCTTTTTCTTTCTCTCTGTATAAGAATATGAATCAAAATATTCACTGGTGTATTTGATTCAATATATTCAATCAACAAGACTAGGAGAGTCTTTTACACAATTTTTTAATATTTTAATGTCAATCCATAGATTAAAGTTGAATGTTTTTAATAGGTCCAAAAGCAAAACTACATGAGAATATCTCCCTTTTTATGTATATCGTTCAAAGAAATATGGTAATTACAGCTAAATACTGCAGACAGTTCTCCAAATATATTAGCTCTTCTTAGACTTATCCTTTTTCAGGAAGACATGCAAATACTGCCTTGCAAAAGGAAAGTAACATGTCTTAAGGCAAGTCATGCTGATTCAGCCAGGTTTTCTGCATAGAAGGGATTAAGAAATCCACAACACTTTCAACTTCATATGGGATCTTTAACTTAGAGCCCCCGTGACTACAATCAGAGAAGCACATGAGGATGTCAGCTTTTTTGATGACAGTAATGGGGCTGAGAGAAAGGCAAAGTTCATTTTGGTTTTGCTCTTTAAAAGCAAGGTTCCATTCCTGCAAGGTTTCAGAGAGCAACCTGAGAATAACTGCTCTCCCTTAAAAGCTTGCAAGGTGGGAAACTATAAAGATACAGTAGTTAACTAGAAAAATATAAATAACATGGTAAATTGTGATTTGAGGATCTGAACAATGAAACCTGGAAAGAATGTCCCAGTCATGCAGGAAGGAAACTATTCCCCTTGCTAAGTAGTGTAGCTGATGCATGTTTAGAGGCTTAAATCACAGTCTCAAGAGAGTTCCAAATACACACTTGAACAAGAGATCTCCCACTTACTTTGTTAAATAAAAGTCCTCAGTTTTCTACTCAGTAGCATTTTGCAACATCTCAGCAGCTGTGAGCTCACCATTACTGGTCTCACATCAGAGGTAAGTTATTAATGCCATTTTGAACTAAATACATCAAGCAAGGTGCTCCCAAAGGACACACCACATTTTATAACTTCAGGTAACTATTTCCCTGACATTTGTACATACTCCACCCCCACAAAGGAAAGCTATCACAACACTGCCCATCACCTATGAGAAAGTACAGATGGATCCCGTAACTGCAGTAGTACCTCTGGAATCAAATGCTTGTTACCCTGGACAAATACAGTATTAAAAACCTTGCAACAAAACATACAGAGCATATGCTGCAGCAAACAGCTTGGTTATTTGGAGACAGTGTGCTTCAGAACCTTGTAAAATTACAACAACGAAAACTTATTGATAAGGAACCCTATTTCAGATTATTTCTTAAGACAAACTCAAGTAGTAAGCTGTGCAAGATGCAACATTTTAAGAATATGAAGTAAAATTAAAACACATTATTTAATGAAGTGCCTGTTTAAAGCAGAGTAAAGACTTGAGCACAGATTACAGGCCTTTGGTAAACCCCATCATTGCTGGAAAGTGAACTATACAGCAATGGAAGGAGACTTTCTGTGGTCAGGGGAATAACTCCAGACCCACAGAAGCTGATCTACTGTTTACCAGCTACAAATCACTGATTCAGAACCACAGAATGTTTGAAGTCGAAAGAAGCCTCTGAAGCATGGATAAAAGTTATAATGGATTTGTGCTCAGTGGTTCTTACTTCCCTCTATGTCTAGAGACTGGGAACCTAAGGGAAAAAAAACCAGAAGCAGACACCAAAACTTTCATTTACATGATTGACATATGTGCTAAGGTGAGAAATTTCAGCTGCATCATCAATTTTCTACCACAATCCAGGCAGGGTGTGGAAAGCTAATTTCATGTACTCTATAACATTATCTCAAATCAAGGTACAAGTCTACTTCCTTTTCCTCCTCCTTTTCATATAACCACTTCAACTACCGGTTGCTTTTGCTAATCAAAATGCTTAACTGAGAAAGAAAAAAAAAACCTGTATGTGTTGTCACCTGACTCATCCTTAAAATACATGATGCAATTAAAATATCCCATGGACTTGTCTTCAAAAATGCAGAAAATTATTTACTATTAAAGAATATGGAGTTTTGCTTTTTGCCACAACTGCAAGTAGGAAGTTGAATTAATTCTTTCCTAATTCCCACAGGAGTCAGGACACAGAGGGGAAGGGAAAAGAGTTTAGGTAAGGTGTGTTCCAGCAACTTATGATGGAACTGGCCACATCACAACTGGCATCCAACAATTAACAGCAAAATCATTATTTAGTTGCATAGATATGCAAACAAAAAGGGAAAAATTGTTTTTCAAGAGTCTCTACCCACCTACACACAAAGGTAGTATTTCCTTTTACTTGCTAAAGCAGACCCACCTACAGTGCAATTTACGGCAATAAGATACAATCTCTCATAAAGTATTGGGTATAATTAAAGTGTGTCTGTTATAAAGGTAAACAGAGTGTACTAGGCTAAGCTGTTCCAGATGTCTTTAGTGCAAGATCTGGGACAAGATCAAACCTGCAGCTGCACATTTTCTCAGGGGTTATTATGGAGCTTTAAAAAAAAAAAAAAAAGAAAAAAAAAAGTCACCTCTTAGTCCTGGACTCCAGCAAAACAAATGCAAGTAGAACAAATGCCAATGCTGACAGATTTTAAGCCACATAGAAGTTACGTGTTCAAAGACACTCCAGAGTATAGTGTTAACCCTGCAGTATCAAAGAGGGTTAGGACTAAGTCTGCCAAGTTATCTGTGTCACCAGAAATTACAGCAACATGAACCTGTTCTACCGCCTAAGCAAGTTTCTTGCTGAAACACACCTACGAATGATTCAGACAAGGTGTGGAAAGGCAGGTTTATATGTTACACAAAAATGCACTATTGTATTTTTCCATTCAAGCACATTTCATGTATAGAAAGGACAGTCAAAGCAAGCAAACTTGCGGGAACTGCATTATGTGTACATTATTTAAACTAAATTTTTTCAAGCATCTTAAGTCCTCTTGAGCTGTAAGTGTCATACAAATTTTAAATTTACTGTCTCAGTGTGATATTAAATGAGCCAAAGAACAAAACTACAGACAACAGAAAAAAATCAAACCAAACCACTTTATAACCCACTCATTAATCTCATCTGGAAGAGAGTGATACACAACAAGCATATCTGATGTTACATGAAAGATTTTGAAGATTTCAGCTGATTTTAGGAATAACAAATGAGAAAAAGTTTTTCAATACCCATTAGAGCAGTGAACCTGTAGATTAGAATGCACCATGTGAAGTCTGAAAGTGACCTGACTAGCACTGTTTTATTAAGCAGTACTTTTACTGGCCTACTCTTTCAAAGCTTAAGAGAAACTTGGAATAAAAGTAGACCCATCAAAAAAAATAGAAGTCAGATCTTCCAAGGATTCATAGCATCAGCTCAAATACTCTGGTATCATACATAGCTGTTTCAGAATTATGGAGTTCCCATTTCAAATGGTTCAGGTCTCTTTTGGGTTAGCTTAAAAACAAGCCTGAAAACTTGCTAGTGATTTCAAGGTGAAGGACAAAACTAAAGTCTGTTTTCTTTTTCAAATCCATTAAATTTCATTCACAAGCTTCACCCTGAAGATCCCTTGCTCCCAAAAGCAGCACCTCACCTGTTGAAGAACCCGGTCCAGTGGTTCAGCTTTGCCCAGTCCCTCTGGTGTTAAGCCACTGACTTCACGACACTGGTCACTTAAGTCCAAGTTGTCTGCTTTCACCAGGGATTTGTGTAGCGTCCCTACCTAAAAACATTCAAGAAATTATGGACAAAAGTGAGGAACAATCGAAAGAGCTCTTTATAGCATTGTGTTGAGACTGAAGAAAAATCAGAAAGGTGCAGTATCACCTCCCGATAAATGCCAGGAGAAAACGCATTTGTCTATTTCACAAATCGAAACCTTTGGCCGCGGTTTCTCTCCCTCCCACCCCGGAGAGCCACGCTCTCTGCTTCGGAGTATCCAAGCCCATTTTCATGCGAGGCCTTTTGCAGTTAGCACCGACTTTTGCGGGAGTTGTTACGTACAAAGGGAAGATCACTTAATATTAAGGCAGTTTTGTGAATCCACTAATGAAATTGATAGTCCTGTTTGTTTTATCAAAGCCCTTCATCTCTAGGGGGTTATTTATGATAGGGCTTTTGGGGAGAAAAAAATACTAGAGATGACTTTTAGGTTGGCCTAAGAATTAAAAGAAGTCAATATTCTCTTAAAGGTTATGCAAACATTAGTTAAACAAACAAAAAGCAGGCCCAAAGGGTCCAACGGTGACCGTGAGCCGGCTCCCAGGGAAGGGAGCACGCTCGGAGCCACCCGGGGCAGCTTTTTGTTTTAAAGCTTCAAAAGTCCGTAGACATCCTCGAAGCTACACATGATTTAAGGCGGACGAGGCAGTAGGGTGTGGAAGCGGCCAAACTTTCTTTAAAAGTTACTTCTTCCCTCGAGACGGAACAAAAAGGAGCTTCCCGAGCGAGCCCCCCGGGCAGGGAATGCCCCCCGGGCAGGGAATGCCCCCCGGGCACGGCCCCGCGCCCTCCCCTCCCTCGGTGCATTTGTGAAATGAACAAACGGCTCCGGGCGGGCGGCGAGCGCCCGGGAGAGCCCGCTCGCCCCGCGCCGGGGAACGCGCCCTCGCCCCGGATATCGAAGCCATACCTTCTTGTTCTGTAGATCCACAACTTGCCACACCAAGAGAATTAGTTCCCTCTCATCCGAACCCAGTTTAGCCCCATATGCACCAGCTGTTGCCCCAAACAACACCACCAAAGAGTCACTGTGCGAAGCCGTCATGACCACAGGGGGAAACAACTACAATCAAAAGCAGAGGTCAAAAAAAAAGAGAGGAAAAAAAAAAAAACCAAAAAAATCCCACAAGGCTCACCCCCTACCTCCAAGTAATCAAAGGGAAAAGAAGCAAACGAGAAGTCACAATATAGAGGAGAGAAAGAGCTATTTAGGAGGTTGGGTGTTTGAGGAAAAAAAAAAACATGGAGAAAGAAAGCTCCCATCTCTACCTGTTCCCGGTGATCTCCTTCCCGGGGCCGATTGGGAGGTGAAATTAGCAAGCTGTGGGTTTCTTTCCCTCTGACATCATGGCAGAAGCTCAGTCTGGGCTTGGGCGCTTTTTTTTTTCTCTCTCTCTCTCTCTTTTTTTTTTTTTCCTTCCCTCTTCCCCTTCCCCTCTCCTGAGTTACCTGCCCTTGGTGCAGCTCATGTGACTCTAGTCAATCTCCCAAAGGGACAAGGCCATTGGGCCTCTGGAAAAGGTGTAGGAGGGACGGAGGGAGAATCAACGCCTGGCTGATCCGGCCTGATTGGTTTTTGAAGGAGATCAGAGGCAAACTCCCTTTCTCTGTTGAATTCTGCCTGCAGGAAGTGCCTCTACCTGCTTTCAGTTCAGCGGGTCCCGCCCGGCGCTGGGCGCTCGGGCTCTGTGCGCTCGGACCCGCGCCCGGCTCGGGGCAATCTGAACAATGTTCGAGAGCCGTGGCTAAAACACAGTTTGTGACTTAGCATCGAATTCCACGAAAGAAAAGTCTTTACCTTTTTTTGCCCTTTGTGCACGTTGCCGTGTGTGTATCCAGCTACCGACGCCAACGCTAATGTGTAATGGAAGCGCTGCATTCCACAGGGATTTCTAAGGGATATTCCAATTCGCAATTTAGGCCCTGTCTTTCATACAGTTTGTAAAGATGGGTCTTAGTAAAACAATTCTTTTTGTTTTGAGAAAGGATGTATCTAGGAAGTTTAGAAAAAACACAGTGTAAAGACCTGCATTTTCTCTCCTACAAGTGCTCAACAAGGAGCTGTCTCCTGGGCATTAACTGCAGTCCAAGATGGGCAGCTTTTCTCCACTCCTCTCTCTTCCACTGGTGAGACTACAAGGGAAACCACCACCTAGTTCAGCTGCTAGGAAAACACTCCTGCTCAACAGCAGCAGCAATATTTGTAACATTGGGGACTGAGAAAATTTTCAGAGATGTTTTCAAACTCAAATAGACTTTAAAGCAGAAAAAAAGATCAAAAGGTTTCTAAACTCTTTTGGAAGTTATTTCTCCTACTGCCACCACTGATGAGTTACTAATGATTTTTAAAGGCCAAGTGCTGCAAGTTAAACGAGTCATAATTTTTCTTTTGTTTAATTAAGTCTTCAGTTTATACTTCAATATTAGTGTTATGCTGAATGAAAATTGGTGCTACTATTTAGCTACTGATGTCTATCCTGGGAAAATGAAGAGCTGGGCATTTAACTGTGAATATTTGATGGCTTAAATTATTAAATCACATTTTCTCATCTTTTAACATTCCAATTTTTTAATTGATTAATTATAGCAGTTATTATGGACCTCCTTCTGGCAAGCACTGATTCCCCATACTAACACCAACAGCAAGACTAATACCATTTATTTCAGTGAAAACAAACTACAGTTCAATGATGCTGTCCGATGTGAGGTATCTTAGAATTCACGTGTTACAAGTAGTTACCTGACATGGGCCATGCAGGAAACTTTGCCCAGGTGCATCTCACTGAACATCACAAGACAGTTACACACCTCTCAGCTGCTGTCTCTGCAGCTCACACAGCTGCCTGAGAAGCAATCCTGAATATACATTGTTACAGAAAGGGCAAATTGTTGAACGGAGATGAAAACTTTAATCTGTAGCATGTATATATTTATATTTTCAAAATATTTTCAGCATTGTATTTTCTAGCTGAATTTATGCCACAGCCATATTTTCCTCTGTCAATGCATTTCCACAAGTCCTTGTCAGAATAAAACCCCATTCATTTTCCTTTTGTTATATCCTTTGGATACAGTGGTAATGAAACAGTGTAACAGACTGTTATTGAGTATGGGATGATTCTTATCCATGAAGTCTGTTATAAGAACCATAAAAATGAGAAGTGTGAGAACTGTTCTTCTTTTCCCAACCTGTTCCCTGCCTCCCAAACTCACACATTATATGGGGGTGTTAGGAGAGAGGCAGTGTTTGTTCAGATAAGTGTAAACACAGATTAAGTGTAAATACAGATTTTAACTGTAGCTATGTTAACAGAAAAAAAATACCAGGTTGTTGCAATTTAGCTGTCTTCATGAGGATGTCATTTTGTAGCCCTAATATGTGAGCACTTCATACATAACGGGATTTTAATTAGCAGATTTCTATAGAAGATCATACACTTGATAAACTCTTGGCCAGGTTGACACATATGCTCACAGGCTGCAGTGAACTGGCTCAGAGAACGCCAATACTTCTCTTTAGAATCTAATATGAAAGAAAAATTATTGTAATTCACTCAGAGCAATATGTCAGACTAAAGAAATCCTCCTCAAATCAACGCCAAACACCTTTGAAAATTTATTTGAAATCTGCACATGGTATTGAAGGCTGGTGAGCCCAAAATCTTCTATGCTTTTTATATTTATGTTAGCTCATCTCAGAAAATGTAGCCTCTCTTCACAGAAAACCCATCTGGTTTCTACTTTTAGACTGCCTTGACTCACATAATTCTACTGTTACTAATTTATCTGAACTATTCTAACGAAATGAATTTAAAACATATTCTAAAATGTTTTTTAAAACCCTTAAATAAATGCTGGCCTTCCTGCAATATCACACATTTGAAAGTATCAGATTATGCAACTGGCTTTTCATTCATCTTCTATCCACAACCCTCCCATTCTCTGTTCTGAATTATACTAGCAATTTATTGATCTAAATAATGTAAAGGAATGACATTGTATGTCTCAACAGAACAGCAACAGGATCCAGTTCCTGAAAAACATATGGTACAAGCCCTTGTACACTGAGCATAGAAAAGTTAATTTGTAACCAAGATCTTGCTGAAATAAAAGAGTTATTGCTCACCTTTAGCTTTAATCCTGGCAGGCATATTTATAGAGGTACTTGTTTGTAGGCTCCATACAAGGATAATGTCTCATAACTGTAACTGGGTGGAGAAGAAAAGTTTTAAAGATGGACACTCATTGTTATGCAAGATCAGTACTGTGATTATTTTGTTTCTTAACAGATTAATCAAGCAATTAAAGCTATAAAATAAATCAGTTTTACAGTTAGATCACACGAGAACACTGAAGAGACTCATTAAAATCATTGTGCTTGAATGGATGAATTTGTAGTGGCATTCGAAGGGAAGGGAAGGGAAGGGACTATCTCCTTTACTACTTTATTAAAAATTCCTGTGAGCTGAATGTCCTAATGACTGAAGTCCTTTTGTTAAAGCCTAATAAAAGGAATATTGAGGCATGAGATCTGGAGTAATATCCTGGCTGCATTTAGATCTACAGAAATACCTTAATAACCTTTCAGGGAACATGGAAGTCAATCATTTGTTCCAAACTAGTATGATATTGAGAAGTTATTTGTCTTCATTAATATTTTGCTCATCAGTTAAGGGGAGGAAAATGACAATGATATTTATCCCTGTAAAATGGTTTGAAATACCCTGGAAAAAGTGAATTAACTTTGAAGTTGGGCTTAATTTCAAAATTGGCCATGGTGGCAGGATGTGCACCAAAAGATGTGCACCAAAAGAGGTCCAGAGGTCTCTTCTAGCTAATTTTTTCCTACAATTTTGAGAAACAGAGATATTAAATTGAATAAGTATGTAGCCTTGATGTTTCTCTGCACAATAGGGATAGTAGTAAATTCTCTACATGCCTCAGCTTCTCCAAACTGAACTGGCACTGGAAGTAAAAGATCTGTAAGTGATGTGTAAGCAAATGTGAGAAGACATTTAGAATTCATACCCAGTCAATCCTTGGCTCCTGGATTGGATTGTAGGATACTGCAGCAATATTTGCTGAAGGAGAAGCTTACTGTAACTCCTGAAACATAAACCCATAGGTAAAGAATTTTCTGGCATCCTTTCTTTAACAGAAAATGAGTGGGAAAAGGCATGGGAACAAATGCTTAGCAGTGTTCTTTGATTGCTGTCCAGATGTTTGGAGAGATCTGATTTTTTGGTCTGCCAGGTAGTTGTGCCATGACTACAATGCACTGTAGAAGCCTTGAAATAATTTCCATTGAGATATCCCCAAAAGCTCAGCAATCTGCAGAAAACCTTCAGAACTGTTCTGATGGATTGTTACCCTGCAGATACCAGCACCACCAAGCCACACTGGAAGCACTAGAGTATCATTTAGAGTATCAGTTGGAATTTATTTCTTAAAGGTTAAAACATAAAATTGGTGACTAAACAAGATAAATAAAAATGAAATTACTTCCCCTATTATTTTATATAGCTTCTCTTCTTCATGGGATGACAATCAATGCAGTGGTTTAATCCTACAGAGGTTTGATACGTGTTCTGTTCCCACTGGAGTACTGGTGTGAGTTGTTTAGCCAAATTTCTTCACATTACACTTACCAGGCTTTTGAAAATCTAAGCATTTACTTTTCTACCAAACTTGTGGACAGACCAAACATGCATGCATAGTAGTGTCTTTTGTAAATATTATTATAGATTTACATTAAAGTTAACAGTTTATAACAAATAAACTGAATTTCCTTTTTTTTTTTAATTAGAAATAATGCCAAATTATGTCAAATAATTTACTGAACAGTTTTCTGGATTTAGAATCACTGAAATGATTGCTGACAGGGACCTCTGCAAGCCCTCTTGTCCAACACTGGCTTACTACCAGCACTGCCAGCACAATGAGCCAGCCAGTATTTTGTCCGGCTGTGACTTGGAAACCTCCAGGGATGACCCATTCCAGTGCATTGCTGCACTGCTTTGCTGATGAGAAACTTTCTCCTGGTTG